GCCCGGCTCCCCCTCAGGGCCCGGCTCTCCCGGGGGGCCCGGCTCCCCCTCAGGGCCCGGCTCCCCCTCAGGGCCCGGCTCTCCCGGGCCCGGGGCCGTGCGGCGCAGGCAGGGCTGCGGCTCGGGCTGTTTGTGGCGGGGGTCTCACAGAGAACAGCTGCAGAGCATGATAGCAACAGAAGCACGGAAATGGAAGGCTGAGATAGCAAAAAGGAATCTGAACCCCGGGTAGGGGAATAGTGCCCAGACCGTAAAGCTAGTGAAGGAATATTCAAAGACATGGGGGATGCCCAAAGCAGTGGAGACTCCGGTGGTATGAAAGGAGAGAAAGCTGTGGGTATCGTGTCCAGTGTCCCAGATAAATCCCATTCTAGCTCTTTTCTCTCTCTAGAGAGCGATAGGGCAGCCTCTGCTCCCTGCTGGTGCTGAGGGCTCTGCTCTGCCAGGCCATTGCCAGACAATGCCTCCAGGGCCTTCCTGGCATGGAGATGATCTCTGCTAACTGCAGAGATGTTTTGGAAAACATTTTGGAGTCTTTTGGACTGAAATGTGCAACACTGTATAATTCTCTGCTAGAAGGACATACCCAAGCAGAAGTCAATAACACAGTCCCAACACAATTGTCTCTTGCGTGGGAGGCTCTTGGATCCTTCCCAGTGTTTATAAAGAGTAAAATAACGAATGCATTCATTACTAATAATGACACAAACATATGAAAAACTTTAAAATAAATACTTGAAAGAGTACTAAGCCTACTACCAGAATGAAGCCTAAGGGTTCTCAGCAGCAAAGTGAAGTAGAAAATTGTGGCTGAAAGGAACAGATGTTTAAAATGAATGCTTTCAGTGTGCTGAACTAAAATATAATTTGAACACATACAGAAGACATATAGACTGTCTTTCAGCAACACAAACCCCTGAAACACCTATACAAGTAACCTTGCTTTGGATCAGCAAGGCTTATTCTATTTATTAAATCAATAAGTGTAAAGCCCATAGACCATTTTAGTTATCAGGCTTTTCCAAATGAATATCCCAAGCATTTCTAATCACAACCAACTGATTTTCATTATTTTGACCTCCTTCTTCTTTGACTGGATCAATAATGTCTGATGTAATAATTTATCAAATTATACTGGGAAAATTATTGATTCTTCTTGTACACTTTAGCTGGGAGAAAAATATGTCAGGCTCTCACTTTAGTCTAAATGGCTTCAGAGATTTAAATTAAATTGCATTTGGTATTTGTATGAAGGATATTAGCACTGTATGTAAAACAAATCACTGAAGCTGAAATGGATGTTTTACTTGCCCCAGTTCCCCTGACACTTTTATGGCACCCATCACTGCAGAGTGTTTTTCATACCCTAATTGCTTTGTGAGATCTCTGCCTGTGCCTCCCACCCCGTGCGCTGGCACAGCATTCAGCAATGCCGTCTGACACTCCTCCTCCTGCCTCTTGGGGAGGCTCAACTCGAGGCCAACTGGAGATTTTATTTAGTTAAGAGATGTACTATAGGAGTAGAAATCTTTCATGTAAATCCTGGGTGTTCACAAAAGAATCAAAAGCTTATGTGTATACAATAGCATGAGGCAGGATTAATATTTAGCCATGCTACGTTTTTAGGTGTAGGGTTTATTAGTGAAAGAAGTATTTGAAAGAAGGCAGTGAAGAAAACTGTATGTTACAATATGCTGTATTTTCTAACAGTACTGTGGCCGTGAACTAACAATTGCAATTCATTTACAAATATCAAACTTGTGGAAATCTAGCCAATTTTATTTCTTAATAGCTGTGTGCTCATACATTTTGGGGGATGTGAAAATGAAAACACTAAAACAATGTGCTGAGTCATTAAGTAGAATGAACCACCCCTTCCCCCCACAGTTTTAATCTCTCACTGTATCACTTACCTGTTCCACGTGTCGTAATAGCCAGCCGTAGTTTCTTTTTCACCTTTTGTTTCTGATGAAGAGACTTAAAAATTGCAAATGTTTCTCCCCTTAGATGCAAGAGCATAAATCACGAGTAATACTGAGCTCTCTGCCTCATATTGATTCTTTCGTGAACTAAGCCAGATGGGTTCAGATATGAGCATGATCTAATATTCCCCTTAGCTTGATTTATAGATTTCTTTGTGCATTACCTGACCATAAATGAGTCTTGCATTATTTCTTGTGTGCCTGTCAAATTAAAGAAAAATATTCTCATTGACCTTTCAACCTGGGAGAAAAAAATGAGTCAGAGACATTTTTCCGCATGTATTACAGGGATCTTGGTGCTTACCTGCCAATTAAGAGTGTGTGATTATGAAAGAGGTCTAGCAATTTGTGTTGTGTGTAATGATTTCATTTTCCCGTAAAGCACGCAGTGGATGTACTGACAGTAGCATAAGCTACATTGCAAATAGCCCTAGAAGGGAGAAGAAGGGGAGAACAATTTGGCACAATTCATTCCTTAATTTACAGAAACAAGCACTGATTGCAAGAACCGAAATGTTTTTCTGGAAGGAAATAATGCTCTTTAAAATGTGGGCCCAGCAAGCAAAATTGCTGAGCCTCCGCCACAGAGGCGTTAATGCCATTGAAGGGAGCAGGAATCAGGGGCGTCTGCTGACCCCAGAAACCTCTCCTGGAAACAAAACTAGTTTAATATGGATGAAAAATAATGAGCAATGTATCATGAGCTTATCATTAGGACACAACCTTGGGCTCTGGACTTGCATCCAACTTGAATGGGAGACACTGAGCTTTGTCTGAGCAAAGAGCTCCTGCTTAACCTGAAGGGACTGACCTCAATGGCCCCTCACCTCTTCCCACAGTTTTCAAGTGTGCTTCTACAGCCTAATAAGCCTATTATCTCCTCTCCATTTATTTGTAAATAATGTTGAAACCTAGCATATCTAGGCATTAAAAAAAGAAAATATTTCCATCTTTGCCATTCCTCAGTTTTTTGACCAGATGAGGTATGGTAAACATGCTCTGAAACTGCTCAGCAGACCAAATCCCTGTCATGTTTCTATTCAAGTTGTATCTCTATTCTGTATCAGGAGATAACATTTTCACAGTAAGAACAAAATTTTAGCTTCTGCCTTCTAAGAAATAACTTTTTAAATAAGTCTTTCTATGCTATGTGAGCGTGCCACAAAACCTGGCTGGTAGCCCTGGCTCTGGAAACAGGCAGACCTGTTTGTGTTCTCAGCTCTCCTTTCCAGGTACCCCACCCCCACATGTCTGTGTCACCAGAAAAAAATCCTTTTTTTCCCCCATTTTTATCCAACTCAGATATGTTTAGACTAGCCACCATGCTCTTACAGATGAAAATAAAGGTTCAGGAATATTAATGCTCCTTTCCAAACCCTCGTTAAGGTCATTGAGACATTGACTACCCCATTTCCTAGGCTACAGTCTTTATTTTATTCTTACATAAATATAAGAATAAATGCTCTGCTGTGGCAAGAAGGCTTTTCTTAACACATCCAACTGGCCAAACAATGAAGTGTTTTACATCTGCCCAGGGATGCATCTAAACAGTGTATCTGTTCTGGGGGTCAGTATATTCAGGAGAGAAGGTCATAAGTATAGATTTTCTTTGGTTTGGATGCTTTATTTTAATTCCCGTGGCTGATCACATTTGTTTATTTTTATTACACTAAGGTTCCAGTCCCCGAGAATGGGATCTGTGGTGCTAAAGACACTTTTATTATATATGAGACTTCAAGTGATAGTCTTTGCCCTGAGGAGCTCACAATAAAAATAAGCAGGCAGATAGATAAAAGACATGATTCAGCATCAGATGTAATTTGCTGTATGAAGCTGATCCAATTGTATTTGAAGGATTTATTTTACAGTTGAAGAAACTTAGGCACAATGAAATTAAATGACTTGCAGAAAATACCACAGAAGTCCCTGGCAAAGTAAGAACTAAATTCTAATTGCCCCATAGCTCCCAGGACAGCCCTTCTTTTTGAAGCAGAGGGAGCTATTTAAGCATTACCTGGACACAACTACACATGCTGTACACCCCAGTTTGTAGAAATTTTAAAGGCCTATGCACTTCTGCCACCCAGCAGGTTTTTTTGTGTTTTTTAAATCCCTCTGCTGTGCATGAGGTTGGTACCATCTCTTCTTCCTGAGCAGTTTTTATTCAGGGATACTCTTGACATCTAGCACAAATGGTGCTTTGAAGAGATGTTTACTGCATAAAGACACAGAAAATACACCTGAATTTCCTATTGTGGTCAGTATATTTATATGAAAAGTATTGTGGTAGGTCAGAATGCAGTGATTGCTATTCCCCTTCACATGGTAATTTATAATTGTGGATCTACATCTGACTAAAAGACTGTTCAGAGTCTGGCTTGCATGGTAATAACACAGGCTCTCCTCAATATCCTTTTAGTATGGCAAAGCCCCTTCACTTAAAAAAATTCTATGAACATACAAAATGAAAGTTAAAAACCTCTTGCAAAATATAAAAATAATAATGCACAATCAGTGAAATCCTAAATCATAATGACAACTTTATCCAGTGTCAGCTACAGACACTCGCTGACTACAGTGTTTTAAGAGAAACATTTCTATGTCTGGTAAGCAAAACAAACAACAAACAAACAATCAAGAATTTCTTAATAGAATTGAGGGGCTAACAGCTGAGGAAAACCACTGACTCTGTGATACTATGGAGTTTTATTTCACAGAAAAAAAAAATAGGATGCTGTAGGCTCAAAACATCCTGTTCCCTTGAATAACATTTCTCAGTCTGGGAAGTATAAACATCCACAAGTCACCTTCATGTCTATATACTATAAACAATTATCTTTGGTTCCCTTTGTTGAACCCACTAAAGGGTTTTTTTCTTCACTAGCCTGGAAAAACAAATGTGCAAGGCTGAGGGCTGGTACCTCGCTGTTGTTATGAGCTGGACTATGGCACTCTCATTTAAAAAGTGAAACAACAGGCTGACCTGTGAGACTTTTACTGTATAATGAATAGGATCTTAAAACCAGACTGCTTCATGGGGGAGTTTTCTGCTGGCATTAGGACTACAAATTTTTTCCTGCCCTGAGGTTGGTAATGGACAGACTGTGAATGTGGTTCAGGCTTCCAGGCAAGGGAAAAGCTGTAAATCCATGCATCTTCTCAAAACTCCCCTCCCTACTTCAGTATTCCTAGAGCTTTCTTAGAACACAAGTCTAAGGATAGAAGGAAATATGTCTCAGCAAGGCTGAAAAGAAAGAAAGCCAAAATTTTCCCAAGTTCTTGCTGATATTCAAGACCTGAGCCATCCACACCAAGAATCCTTGTGACACCCTTCAGGGGGATCTCCAGGTTGTCTCTACACAGCAGGGAAATATCCTTTTATTGCTGGACACATTCTGCCCTTATGAGGCAGTGAGGAGATAACCTGAGTTGAGCTTTTTTGGAAGTATCCATCACTACAGTCCAAGCAATAAATCCTTCTCCTCATCCAGAAGTTTATTCCATAGTAGAAACATAGATAGTGAAAGAGAAAATCACTTGGATCATCTAGTTTATCCCTTGCTGGGATAAAGATGGTTTTTTGCCTTCATTATCTTTGCAGACAATACCTCACCCAAAATTATCACCTGACCTAAAGTCTGACAGAGAAATGGAATATTCTTACTAAAACAATCCCTGCTCGGATGCCTGGTTTATTGTTTGTGTAGCAGCAGAGAATGAGTACAGCTTACAAGGTGAGAAAAAGGGGGCAGAACTGCAAACATTTATCCTTCCCAAGGATAGCAGGGGAGATGCTGAGGGAAGGATAAAACAGAGCATTATGTGTCTGTGAGCAGAACTGTCCTGAGGGGGTACTAATCTGGGAGAATTGCTGGAAATCACTAAAAAAGAATAAATGTAGTAGTGGTATCTAGGAGGGTCCTAAAGGACTCCCCTTTCCCTAATCCAGGGGATTCTCTGAGAAAGGACAGGGAAGCTGTCCCCATCCCCTCCCCCACAGCATCCCTATAAAGGGAAGAAGTCACAAAAGTGTTGATGTCTTCTTTTTAAAATTATAATGCCTCTCAAGGCTCTGTACAACAGCTGGAAGCCACAGTTGCTCCTGAGGACCAGACCCACTAAAACATGATTTTGCAATGCCCATTGTTTTTTAGGGCTTCACGTGTGCTCTTGTGCCACAAGTCACAATTTCATTTCCAGAAGGTGTTTGCTTTCATAACATTCAAGGTGACTCTAGGACAAGACCTAGAGCAGTGAGAGTGAAAAGCAAGGCTTTGCCATACTTTGACTGATTCAAGGTCCAGCCTGTGGGAGACTCATCCTGTCTCTGCCACCAGGAATTGCTGTAAACTGTTCCCATCCTCCTTGGTGTCCTTGAAAGGACACTTTAACAGCCAGGCAGCATTCTGTTCTCCATGGATCCTTGGGGACAAAGCCAGCTCCCCTTTTGGCTCCTCTGGCTTCTCACTTTTATATTTGAGTGTCTAGGTCTTGAATTTACACCTTCCTCTTGCACCCTTTTACCCCTTTTCCTCGTGTCTGTTGCCTCACCAGGACCCCTGGGCAGCCCAAATCCCTCTTTTCTTTCATCACCTTAAGCAGGTGCATGGGCTGCTGTCTTTGCCTGATTTATTCAGTGTATTTTGCAGTCAGTGTGGGGGCTGGGGAGGGATATGCTGGGAGCAATGTCAGAGGCAGGAGGTCTGCAGAGGCAAACCCAGTTTGTGGATTGGTGTCTCACCATGGACTGTGTGCTCCTCAGCCTCTCCCTGCCCTCTGACCCTGCTTTGCCCTCCAGCACAACCTGCTCCCAGGACCAGGGCTCCTGCTGAGGGCTAAGCCATCCCTGTCACCTGCCAAAGGATGCCAAAAACCTTTGTGATCTTATTGCATAAACAACTGGGTTGGGATGGTCAATCTTTTAAACAATCAACTAAGAAAAAGGTGATATTTTGGCCCAAACAGGGTGGAGATGAGAGGCTCTTGTTCTTGGGGACGGACAGGAAATACAGCTTTCCAAATCAGTTTATTTTGCTTATGATTCACCACAGGATTTTACCTTGCCTTTCAGAATGTTGTGAGCACACACGAACAAAAGACATGGTATTTTGATACACTGTGGTATTTAGAGCAGCCACAAAATATTAGAATCCAAATCATATCCAACTATCATGTGATTATATGGCGAACTTGCATAGCAGGAGATCCTCTGTGCCATGCTCAGCCCTTGACAGAGCTCTCACAAGCAATGTGAGTGATGAGCTCCTATTTAGGAACTGACAAATTCGTGTGGATCAATGATTATTAAAAAGAAAATGTCATTAAAGAGGACAGTTCGGTGCGGTATCATCCAGGAGCTGTCAATGTCTCTGCCGGGAAAATTAAAATAAAGTCATCTTACAACACATATTTCAAACATTTTGAATTTAATAATTAACTAAAAGACAGATGCAACAGCCCATTTCCAAAGTGCATTTCAGTGTCCATTAAAAACACTGATTGTCTAAAAATCAATTACTTCATTGTAATTCTTGCTGAGGCTTGCTGGGATCTTTCATTTATCAAGTGTTTTATGAACTATTTGTTGTTTCTAGAGTTTTCTTTTAATGAGGGTAGCAGCTAATTGAACATGAGAAATGTTTTTCTGAACTTAAAAAAAAAATCCAAACGTTTTGTTTTAACACTTATAAGAAAAAAAAGTAATTTTTGTATTGGAAATTAGTTTTAATTTTGAAGATAAAAGTGATAAAAACTAAACACTTGAATTGTCTTTTGGACAACTGAAGCAATTCTTCCCCCTACTGATTTTGGTTTAACCACTGAAAGGAAAAATTATTCAGAGTCCAATTCTTCTGGAAGGAACAGGCTCTGCAGATTTTACTTGTTCACTTGGTATCGCCCTATGAAGCTGTCACGGCTCTGCTGACAGAGCGAGGTGAAGTGCCAGTGAAATCGGCAGTATTGCTACAAATAAATATTTATAGAGTACAAAGATAGGAGATATTTTAGAAAGTTTGTCCTGTCCTATATGTCAGCAGTCCTCATGTGCATTCATAGTTATTGGAGTTTTGTTTTTTTTTTCAATAGGTCAATGTAGAACTTAGAATTAATTATTTTAAAAACAGAATTATTACAGGTACTTTCTCTCATGATTTTTCAGAACTGGGACCCCAATTGCAAACCCACACAAGCCCAGGACAAGAAGAGCCAATGGTTTCACAGAATAAAGGAGTAAGCAAACCAAGGGACTGGTACCAAGTGCTGGAGGAGTACAAGGAAGAAGCTGGAAAAGCAGCGCTCACTTGCTGGATTCTTGTGGTTTATGATGGACACCATTAATGCCAGGCTGTACATGTGCCAGGGAATGTGCAGAAATCTCATCCTGAGCATGTCCACAGAACCCAACGTGCTGCAGTGCAGGAGGCTGTTTCCATCTTTCACATCTTTGACATTGTTAGAAATCTTCATACGGCCTCATTTTACAAACTTAGGTTCAAATTTCTCCCTTCTTCTCAACCTCCCTGTTGCTTTGGGGACCTGCAATTCTTTCACCATACCAAGATCTCACTCTCAGGTATGATCTCCTTTTCCATGATGGGATACAACCTTTACCTGAGGCTTTCTACATTTTCCATTTGTCAGGTGTAGATTTGTTATCCAGGGAAAGCAGCAAGCCAAGAGAGGCAGTGCTGTGTGCTGGCTGAGCCCTGCTCTGCCAGGGAGAGCCCAGGGCAGGGTGGGCTGGGACTGGCAGCTCCTGTGGGATGCTGAGCTGAGACAAGGGCAGATTCATCACTACAGCCAAATCACAGCACCCAGGCTGAATCAAAATCATCTAGACAGAGCCTTTCTGCTTTCACCAAACTGAATTTTCTTTACAAGAATTCTGTATTGCATGACAAGTTTTAAAACTGAGATTTTTTTTAATCTTAAAAAAACCCCAAACTTAAAACTTTGCATAGGACAGAAATTCATATTTTGGTGATAAATCAGAGGAAACTGTGTTACTGGAGAAACTGAATGTCTGGGGACAGGTAGCTGACAGTACATTCCAAAATAGCAGAGATCCTTCCACATAGGGCAGGAATAATCCTGAGGACAGTCCTGCCTCCCTGTTACCTGTGCACAAGCTGCACCAAACTCATACAAAGCTTTTGCAGCAAACAAAATTTGAACTTAGGAGCCTTTATAAGCAGTTGCTTTCTTCAGTCTTACTGCTTTCTGTTGATACCTTGGCAGCAAAATGGAGAGTTATTTCATATATTTTGATTTGCAAAATTAAATTTGGAGGGGAGAGAGATAATTTCATTAAGTAAACCAATATAAACAAAAATAGCCCTTCTGGGTAAGAAAATACAGCTGTCTGTGGGAAGTGCATGTAAGTCAATGCAAACAACAGCCATCTAAAAACATGATGCTCTGTATTTCTTGCAACCAAACTTCAAAAGGAGATGAAAACAAAGGAGGACAATGATATATAGATTAGAGAACATAACATGTGGAGAAGCTGAAAAGCCAAATTCATAGAGCCCATGAAAGAGATGGCTCAGGGTGAACATGAGCACAGTCTAATATCAAAGGAACAACAGAAATGAAGGAAGTTATTCGCAGTCTCAGAAAATTGTAGGCCAGGGAGCAATGGCCTGAAGCTAAGAAAGAAAAAGTTTAGGTGAGATATTAGAGGGGAAGAGAAGCCCTGAGAAAAGAAAATAACAGGGTAGTTGAATACCCAAAGAGGGAAAGTTCCCAGTGTGGCATAACTGCCAGGCTTGTGCAGCAGTGAGATGGTGTATGGCTGCAGAAAGCAGAGGCTTGGTACAGACACACAGGAGCCAGCTCGGATGGATCGAGTATTCCTTGGTCCCACAGGCTCTGCTCCAGGTAATGGCACACAGTGATACATGGAATTACAAGGCAGAGCTGCTTCTTTGAATTAGCTCAGCTGCTTCCTCTGATTCTCTCTTATATATCTCCTTTATCCATCATGCACCCTCCCTTCCCATCCAAATGTGGATGAATTCCATGTAGTCTCCTCTCACTGAGCTCAGCTTTCTGTCCCGCTGACAAGAGGTGTCAGGAGAACTGCTGGAAGAAGAAGCAGTTGTTACTAAGGCAAGGCCAGCCAAGAGGGCTGCTGATATGATGGATTATGGAAGGAAGTCTCAAAGTCACTTAAGGATGAGGAGCTGGAGGTGTGCATGAGTAATGCCAATGATCATACAAAAAACTCTGCAGCACTGAAAAGCTGGAAGAAAGCACTGCCTCTGCTCAGAGCACTGCAAAAGCCAACAGGGACTGGTCTCCACTGAAAGAATAAGGAGATTCCCAGGGTTGAGCAGGACTTTGTGAAGGGAAGACTCCTCCTGAAGGAAATGATGAGCTCTAGTGGTGGGTCCTCTGCACAAGTTCTCCCTGCTACTTCTTCGCCCTAGAAATGCACAGGAATGGGATCAGCTGGGCTGGAGACAGGCTGATACTAATTCTCTAACATGTGAGAGAAAGGTATCTCTAATACACACACTTCATAAGGTGTGCTAATAACAAACAACAGCAAGTTTATAGCCCAGAAGACACCCTGGAGATGGGATTTGGTTGCTCAGAGGAGCGTGGGAGGAAGCAGGAAGGCTGTTGCTACCCACGGGCGTGAGGCTCCTGAAGCGAAATGATGCACCATTATCACAGAGCTCACTGTTGGCTGGCTTCTACTCAAACTCCTGGGCACACAGCTACCAGCACCCAGGGTGCTTTACAGCACAATTAGAGCTACTGCCAGAATAAATACTCAGTGTAGAGCACAGAAACCTGCCATAAATACTGCCAGTTGTCCTTTCCCATCGGGGCACTGCCACAAAGGTCTCTGCACACCCAGCACCGCTGCCCTGGGGCCTTTCCACACCCCGGGCACTGCCCATGGCAGTAATCATCTCACTACTTGTGCCACAAGTGAAGCAAAAAAGCCAAACATACTTCTCACACATTTCTCCAGTGGATGGCCACCGTTTTTAGAGTGGTCCAGGGAGCCAAAGAACAATTTGCCAGTGGTATCTTGGTGATGAGCACCCAGTAAAGGGAATTTCTTGGGTTTGCTGGTTTATTGTTTACAAAGAACTACTCAACATAATGATTCTCTGATGTCTTCACAACAGGTAATAGAAGAAGCACTTCAAAAGAGATATAACTGGGATACAACTGGGTTAGAGAGAAGGTTCATTTATGGTAAATGCCAATCACTAAAAATGTCAGATGCAATACTTTGAAGACCAAATTAAAAAATGAAGAGTTGTTTTTCTTTGGTTTCAAAGCTAAATCCATATCACTTCTTTTGCAGAAAATCCATGGCAATTACTGGTGAAAGAAGAAGTCTAAGAGACTTCTAAAATAATGATTTTAAAAAATTTTAAAAAATTTTGAAAAATAATGATTTTAAAAGTCATCCTATTTTAATTTAAAATTATTCCCCATCCTAAGGAATCCAAACAGGTAAGTACAAACAAGTACTTTCAGAAGGTATGTCCTTGAAGAATCTGGAAAGAATAAAGAAACAAAAGAGCTGCTTGGGTCTGCTGTACCTTCCTCTAAATTGCTTTCTCTCACTAACTTTGCTAAAACAATTGCAGCCACGTCCATGAGCTCAAACACTGGTATTTCTGAATAGCTCTTTAACTGAAAGGAACTGCAGTCATTCTGAAGACATATCTCTGTTACAATCTATAATGAATGTAATCTTCAAGGGGCAATAATTTCTCTCAATTACACAATTTTTCTGTTAAAAGTGGCATGTGTTACAATCTGGGTTGTCAGTTCCTCTGGCCATGGACACACACATTTCTCAGTAAAGCATCTTAGGCACCCCCTGTATGCTATCAATAAGATCAGTATTAATGTGAAAATTTTTTTTAAATTTAATTGCATGTTAGCATAATCTTCCCAGTTATTTTTTTCAATATAAATACATAGGGCACAACAGCTGTTTGGAGAGCTCAAATTAGAGCTGTTTTGTGGCTGTCTCTGCAGCAAATGCCTTTGGCTAATATAATTTAAACCTCTTCTATGAATGAATTTCATGCTTTGAAGCTAGCTAATAATTTCTGTCATTTAAGAACAACGTTCCATGATTTGCTCCTAATAATAAAAAAGAGAAAATGAGCGTTCCTCTGTGCTGCTGCTCCCACCTGCCCGTGTGCCAGAGCACTGCCCTGGCTCTCCCAGGAGCTGCCCTGAGCTGCCTGGGAAGGGGATGAGGACTCCAGGACAGAGCTTCAGCAAAAAGTGCCAGAGCTGGGAGAATTTCACCAGCACTCCCAAGGTCACAGCCAGAACTCAGAAGGAGAACTATAAATTACGAAGTGCTGGACTGCAGCCAAGCCCATGGGAAGCTGCATTTAGCATATCATTCTCTAAGCAGCAGGATGAAACCTTAACTCCCTTTCAGACAGAATTTGAATGGAATTTGTTATAAGAACACTCTGATTGAAACATCACCGTGACTTTCCATGACAACCCGGAAATGGGTTGCAATCGCAGGGGGATCCTCTTCCAACCAGCCCAAAATGATGATGAGGATGATAGAACCCTATCAAATATTTATGAAAACCAGATGAATTTCTGTGCTAGCAACACATGCTGCTACTATAACAGAGACCTCAGTTAATCTGACATTACCCTGAGCTGAGGTTTCTCCCAATGTAAACTAAAGGGAGAATAACAAGCTGATTCTAGTATTTTGAAGTAAAAGTGCTGCAACAGAGGTTAATAATATATCAGAAGAACACAGTGCAGGTAAATGATTTGATATTTATAGATACTATGCACTGGCTGCCATCAGTGCTGTAGCCCTCCTGTGTAAGGGACAGAATAGAAGAGCTTTGTGTGAGCTATAGACAAGCACGTGTTAGGGGCGAATACAACATTTAGTGCTGTGAGGAGACACTGAGACCTGTTTGATACACAAAGCAATATGGGCAGTGCTATTCCAAAGCATTAAACAATTAAAGTTTTTATGAGAAAAGGATTAATTAATTAATTCAAGGATTCAAAAGTAGCTTTAGATTTTAAATGTTGGAAAAAAAAAGAAAAAAGAAAGAAATCGTTCATGTAAATTTTCTGTATCATAAAATCTCTGCACCTTGCTGTCACACTGGTAACTCCAAGACTGGTATTTAAAGATGTGAAATAATACTACTGCCAGTCTCAGTGGGAAGAGTGACATCTTGAAAGGAAATGCCCTCCCCCTAGTCTGCAAAGGAATACTGGCATTAAGTGCTGAAACAGCTGCCATCCTTCGTCTTGGCACTAAGTTAGGTGATAGCAAGCAGTGAAGAGATGCTGGAGAGTTTGGGGAGCACTGTGTGAAGGCAGACAGTTCAGTAATTTATTGGACAGCAGCTTCCTTGGGCTGATCACACAGCCATAACTAACTCAGATGTGAATTATTTTGCTAGTAAGTTATAAGTGACTCGTTAAAACATGGTCACGGGGCTTTGGTATTATGGGAAGAAATGTTAAGAATGGGATCTGAATAATGGTTGAGAAGAAAAGGGAGAAAAGTAATAAATTAGCTTCTGTAGTTAGAGAGGGAGGTTTTTGGATGTGAGTGTGATAAACTCTGCTTTCAGGGAAAGATGGAAAAAGGCATGTAAATATTTGTAAAATATCATAGGGATGGCAGGGAAGGAACTTTCCCTAGAACTGGTGGATGTGGAAATGTGTGTTGGATGGAATAAGTTCTGGACTGGGGTATGGAAGGATTAAATAAGAGTTGGTGGTGCTCTGCCTTACAACCAGAGCTGTGATAACCCCCAGATGACGAGGTTTCATCACTGCTGATTAGGATGGGATTCTCTCTTCTGTTGCTTGAGAAACCAGGCAAATACACTTCTGCTACCACAACGAGGCTTGCCCTTCTCTGAGCCTTTGGCATCTGCTCAGATGGAGAAAATAACTCCTTTTCTGAACTGCAACACAAAGGGGAGATTCATGGCATCACCCTGTGTGTGTGCCTGCAGACTCACGTGCTTTACTGACCAGGATGCCACTTGTACAATTTCTTTCTTTATTTCCTAGATCTTTTCACAAATGGATTTTGTGATTCCTGAGAAATGAGAAGTCTAAAGGTTCACAAAAAAACAATCTGTCTGCTTTTTGCCAATGAAAGAGCAACTTAGCTTTTACCCCTTTTTATGCACTAGTCTAACTTCTGATGCACTCCTTATATTTCTGAACTTTTTTACTAATTCAGCTCATACTGATTTATATGCTTTAAGCAGATCAAGCAGCTCATGCAAAAAAACCTGTTAAAGTATTTTAAATAATTATTTAGGTAACATCTTCCATTAAAGGACTTAAAAGCAACACAAAAATTAATTGATTTTCTTTGAGCTAAGTAGTATCCCCATTTCAGGACATAAAAACGAAGGCATATTAAATCTACATATTCAAACGTAGGTGCCTGAAGTCAGACATCTAAATATACATGTCACCAACTAACTACTGCTATGATTCTCCCAACTCTGAAGGGGATCTGGATTTGAGGACCACACTGAATAGAAGAATAAACTAACCTCTCTCAAACTGTTTCTGTGCAGGCATTAAAGGAACCCAGATTTAAAGACCAGGATCTCTTGCAGCTTGGGCTAAATTAGCAACTGTAAAAAATAAAACAACTTTTATTTCGCTCCTAGCTTGAAGTGAATGTCAGATCACAGGCACTCAGGTTCAAAAAGCACTCAGAAAGTTTATGCAACTGATCTGGCCACCTTTCCCAAGGCGAGTAATTAGTGCTCTCTCCAGGATTGCCATTTACTTAACATTTCCTGACTTTCTCGAGGTTGCTTGCTGTATGAATGGCAGTGGCAGATCAGGCCTTAGCAGATCTTAACGTGGCTGTGCTTCTCTGTGGCAGCACTGCAGGCAGCAGCAGTCCCCTCCTGCATCTTCATCCTAAGCACAGCCACCAGCCCTCTCTCCCAGGACACTTGCACATTCAGGAGAGGGAGGCTTCATTCTGATGAAGACTGAAAGGCCGTTTATGGGTGCTCTGATGCACATTTCAAATTAAATATTTTAAGGGTGGTGAAATAATTGCCAGGTTTGCATATTTAATGGACCTTGAGCTATAAGCATTCCCCAAAAATGCCTAGTTAATACTGGTTTGACAGTGAATTTGCGCAGTGCTGAGCTCTGATACATCAAATTAGCATTGATTTGCAAAATGTTACTGAAAGATCTCTCAAAATTTGCCAGGTTCCAAAATCAGTGTAGGAGAAGAGGGTCTCTCACCCTGACTGCCTTCTTAAAAGTCCTTTCCAGCTCCTTACCAGGACTCCAAGGACATTCCTTTCAAATTTCTAAAATCCTTTAGAAATGATAATTCTTTTCAAACTTCATATTTGCATCTTGTTCAAGAGTGATCAGTTCCTCTTGGGGTCTTTCTGCATGGTGCCATTGAAAATCCTCTCGTGCTGGCTCAGGAGTGGAGCTGTGGCCAGTCGAGGTGCAGCTGGGCTCTGCACAGAGCTTGAGTGTTCCAGAATCTGGGATGCAGGTGCTACCCCTCGTGGATGGCTCATAAGTTCCAGGTGGGGTTTAAAGGAACTGGCACTGCCCCATGAAGTTCCTCTGTGGCTTCAGTCCTGGCAACTTCAACAGCTTCCCCTGTCCCTGCACAACATTAGCACAGCTGTGCTCAGTGGACCTGAGGTGCTGGAACATCCTCAATAAACAGAGGAAAGCTGCCAGGCTCTGCTCCCTGAAGGGCTGGAGGCTCTGCCTGTCAGCTCGGGGTGTTTTAACCCCCCTGGCACGGCTCTGCTCGTGCTGGGCACTGCCTGAGCCTGGCCACAGCCTGCCACCCATGGGAAGAGTCTGAAGGAGGCTGCCAGAGGAGGAGTTCTCCAGGGTGCCCTTGGCCTGGTTGGTATTAGCTCACTTTGCCCTATTAACTCATTTTGCTCTATGGTTTTTCAGCAGCTATGGTAGAAGTGTGTACCTTGAAACAAAAGTATTAATATATAATGGTGACATTTTTCAACAGAATTTTTATCTTCATCTAAGCAGGGGTACAAGTGGTAGGGATCTGTTAACAGACATTTCCTTGAAAGTGTGCTGTCACAGCTATTAAAACGTTTTACCAGCAAAAGTCATGCAACACCACCTGTGACAGAGGCTTGACACTGGTTTTGATCTCCTGAAAGAACAGAAAATGGGAACAGACTGTTTGTTTAATGGCTGTTTTCTATTAGGGATGCACACTGTGGTGTGGTTACTATGAGGTGGCACATGCCAGCACCTAGTGGCTCTAAAAATGGCACTGCCAGACCTGGAGGGTCATTCCCAGCTTGGCAGGTGTCCCCTCTTTGTTCCAGCTGTCTTCCCTGTCTGCTCTTCACCAGTGGGTCATGCTGTGAACATCAGCTCCTGCTGGTCCTGCTGCCACAGCTCCAAGGTTTCAGTGGTGGCACTGGGAGCAGAGCCTGTGCCTGCAGAACAGCTCCCGACAGAGCGGCTGCTCCAGCTCTCTGCACTGCCATGGTTGTACCTCACACAAACAGAGAACTCCAGGAAACATCTGTGGGATCTCCTTTGTGATTGTCCCCACCAGCTCCCACTCAGCATCAAAATCTGGAGGCTGAAGGGCCGCTCCTGTGGCTCAGCTGAAGCCAGAGACGAATGTTGGCTGCTGTGTGATGACTAAGTCTCACATGCTTATTGCTCCTATCAGTTAGAACTCTTAATCACTTTATGCTGTTTCATCCTATAACATGAATTCACTTCAAGCTGTGAAATTCACCATTTTTGCCATGACTAATTTGTGAAATCTGCCACCTTTCTTTGTGGTTCACGTTGTGCCCTAGTTAGGCATCATCTGTCTGATTAGGGAAGCCTGTGATTTGTTTCTTGCAGTTGAGCCAATACAATTTCACTCCCCTCCTTTCTTCTCTCTGCACCCAACTGCAATTTTGCTGTTGCCCGTGCCCTTGGGTGCACTGAGGCTGGAGTGGTGTGGAGGCCACTCCAGAGCCCTGGCTCTCCTCCTTACAGAACAGAGCTGGGCTCAGCCTGGGGCTTTTACCCTGCCATTGCTTCAAGCTCCCGAGGTCTGTCATGTTTACCATCTTCCTAGATTTCTCCCAGCCTGCTTGCTGCAATATTTTGGAAATCATTTCCCACCTGCCTTGCCAGTGCCTTGTTTCACGATACATTCATCTGTTACTCTTTACATTGAATGTTGCTGGCATTACTAAATGCTATAAATATACCCAGTATACCATAAAAACAGACGAGCAGATGACTGGTCTTGCCTACAAGAAATACTATGAATTTTTCATTTTTTTCACATGCTCTGAGCAAAATCCAGAGGGTGCTTGAGGAACATCTCATAACTGAATCGGGTCCTAAATTCCTATTTTCTCACTAACTAGTTATTTCCTAAAAATATTTTCCCACACTCTTAATGCCCTAATTGTTCCTTGAAGACGTTGCCAGCTCATCCATCCTTTTTCACACCCTCTTAGAAACCCAGTGAAACATTACTTTAGTATTTCTGTTGCTGAAATACAGTGATAAATGGTCTTCTTTTAAAATCAGTGGGAACAGAATAATGGATGTGCAGGAGAGCTTATTGACTTGCTCTTGTCAAAATGGAGTCCTGCCATGAAGTTCAGAAGGATCACAAGATGCTCTGGATATTCATCGTGCTCCTCTTTTCTTGATGGTAAAGCTGATGAGTTTGGACTACGCAGTTCCACAAGATAATGACAGAAAAGCAAAGGAAACCTTCCACCCTAGCTCTTATTTTTACCACAACTTTCCTTTCCATCTCTCTTTCTATATTCTTTTTTTACCAGTTTCACTCAAAGTTAATCACCTCCCTGCCTGAAAAACAGTCATGTGAATAAGATCAATAGCATGATTCCTCTTAACAGATAAACAAATGGACAAATCTCTGATTTGTAATTAACCCTTTATCAAAATCCCTGAAGAGGAGGTTAAGGAACAGCCCAAGCTCACGTTCCTGACTTTGTCCAGCTATCACAAAACCTAATGGGCCTGATCCTGTTTCTGCCCACAGAGTTAATAACATTTCTCTGAATGACCCTGAGAGCAGGACTGTGGCTGGTGCTCAGCATGCCATGCCCTTCTCTGTTTGCTGCATCCAGCCCAGTAATCTCACAGCCCTGCTGGCCCAAGCCACTTACTTACCCCCACTGCAGCCTAATCAGATGGCAATAAAAGCTTTTACTGTGCCATCCTGTTTGTGCTCAGCAGAAACATAAAAAGCATATTAGAAAATTGATTTTTGGCATTAATTGTGAGCAAAGAACATTATACTGAGTAGAGATAGGGTGGTTTTTTTCAGGCAGAAAAATTCTATTTTAGTCTTTTAAAAGTGACTGTGGAAGATGCTGAGCTAAGCCCCATGGACACTCTTTTCAAATACCATAAGGCAAAGAGTAGTTACTGAATCTCCTCAGTCTTATTAGCTTACATAAACATAAAAATTTGAATAATGTTTAAAAAGCTAAATTCTCCAGATAATCCATAATCAGTAAATGTTCATTACTGAGATGTAGCAAATATGCATGAGATTTCCCCGGTGGTGTTTTGGTTGCACGATCTAAAAGGTGTAGAAAAGCTTCTTCCATGTGGGGCTGGGCAAAAACTTCTATAGGTTCCTGAGGCCATTTGGCCACAGCGTGGACCTTCCTGGTCCCTTCAGGAAGGAGCAGGAGGAAATCAGAATTCACTGTCTTGTGTTACAGCTCTGGTGATTTATAAATAAATCATCCCCACAGGATGATTGATGTCTCCATATAAATAATTAAGTCTTGACCTTATGTTATGACATCTGCTAAATTTTTTGGCACTTGAAACCAGCGCTCAGGAGAGATCCTTGACTCTGGATAAATGAAGGTGGGACTGGATTCAAGGGGGAGGGGGAGACAGGTTTTTGTTTACCCTCATTTTGTTCTGTTTGATTCCATCAGCTAATTGATGATGATTATTAATCTCTGTTGCCATCTACTCTATGGATTTAATTCCTGCCTGTGATTGCTGTTGGAAAGTTTGCTCCATTAGAAGCAGACTTTGATTGGATTTCCAGTAGCCAGAGTTTCCCAGATGTCCCTCAAATAATTGTGCCTCAAATCAAGTCCAGGCACCTTACAATTATTTTTGTTTGCTATTTACTTTGTTTGGTGGAGGAGCTCCAGCAGCCTGGGTTACACTGTCATTATGCTCAACCAGGCTAGGTAGCAGGTGTCAGCAAAAGTTTAATTTGGAAGCTCATGAATTCAAAAGAAGAGCTTAACAGTTATCCCCAACACAGGGAGCTGCTGTGGCCTGAGCCTGGAGAAGAGAAAATCCCAGGGACATGAAAGGAATTGATGAGACACCAGGCATCTGACAAAATAAAATCTTCTTGGGATAAACTGAGGATAGCTTTCTTGTCAAATAGTGAGCATCATTAACAAACAAAACAGATTTAGCAGCAGCATTTCCAATTTTCATTTCTGAGACCGGTCAGGTTTACTATCCACCCTCTCTCCCTGGTACTGTAGATACAGCCTATTGTCTTAATAGCTGCAACTTTTAAATCTTGCAATAAAATGCAAGAATTTCAGGGTAGGGGTCTAACATTAGAAAAAGGGCATCTTTGGGTTTTTTTAAACATGTTAATCTACATGGAATATAAGACAGATACAGACAGAAAGCAATATTACAACACAATGGCAATAAGGGGTTTTCCTAACCCCTGAAAAATCTTAAGAAACTAATGACACAGCTACGAGCGTGTATCACATCATCCCTGGCTACTACAGCCAGCACCCGGGAATGCCAGCCATGAGCAGGGGCTGTCCGACTGCCCATCCATCCCCAGCACCCCGGGGCTGATGTACTTGTTCAGATCATTGCTGGATGTTTGCCGTGGCTTGGACAGACCCGTTCGGGAGGGCTGCGGTGTAAAGGGGCATGGCAAGGTCCGAGCTGCCAAGTGTGGCCGAGCAGGGGAATCGGGTCGTGCTCCCGAGGGAGAGCAACGCCCAAAGAAACCCCCTGTTGTCTAAAGATAACTCCAGAAATTAAAAAGTGCCTCCGTGTGTCCCTTCATACCGCTCCTGTTCGCATGGACTGAACTCCGCGTGAACCGGGTTCCCAGTCTAGGGCGATGCCTGCATTTCCCAACTACTTTGCTTTGGATCCCGCTGTTTTCCTCGCAGAAAGCCACGCCGGACCCGGACCCACGGGCGTTGAGCCGTGGCAGCCGCGGGCTCGGCGCTCAGCCGGCGGTGGCTCCGGTGCCCGGGCTGGGCTGGGCTGGGCTGGGGAGGAGGCACTTTTTAATTTCTGGAGTTATCTTTAGACAACAGGGG